GTCCCTCCGGCGCGAAAGCAGCCGAGGCCGATCTGTTCGCCCCTTTTATATACGACGCCATCACGACCCTGAAAATTCAATACTATATGAACACGTGGTTTGTAAAGAAAGAAAAGGGGATATTCAGATAAATAGAGATAAAAGAATTGTATGTATAGATCTAGGTTTAGGGAAAAACTGAAACTGGATCGCGAGGGGGAGAGAGATAGAGTGAGTTTTATCTCTCTTGGGGTTTTATTTTATTTATTTTGCATTCGGTTTTTCATTTTCTGTTGCTTATGTTTCGATTTTTTCACTCGTGTTCGTGAGAGGAGAGAGTGAGGTGTTGGATAGTGGCGATGAGGGCTATTATCGGAAATTCAGGTTGTGATTTGTCAGGAAACCAATCGGGCGACTACGTGTCAGTTTTGTGTGCCATCTGCAATTTAGACGGAAGAAAAACTCTCGAGTTTATGTGGTCAGGCTCGATGACCTTGAGCTCTCTTCATGAGCTAGAACATCATCGGGCTCGTATGGGTGAGCTTGAATTAGAGCTTGAAGCCTTTGGATATCTTATGTTCTTCACTATCATTTTTCATTTCATTCTATCAGGTTCCTTAATTCTATATGACACTACAACTAGAAATTTATGCTTATTCAAATACCCTATCTCACAATTCTAATAAAATTACAACTAGTAGGTATGGAAAAACTCTCGGTACTTCACAACTCTTAAATCACACAAGGATGATCAATTGATTTATCCTACTAGGAGTGCACTACTTAGTCATGCTAGTAATGTACTTACTTACCTCTGTAAATACAAAACCTTGAATCATTATTCAGATACATTTTTACATTCAATTTATAATCTTACCCTTTTGTTAACTTAAACATCGAAGAAGCGACAAGATCACACATCGTTACCTTTGTTTCAGGTCCTAAAGGTTCTATACATGCTCATTTTCGATCGTCAAGCTCAGATATCCTCAAATGCAGATCATTGACACATTTATTTCAGATCATGCTCATATTCATTCCTTGTCTCAAGTTTAGGTGCAAATTTTTTATAGCATCAGCCACAAAG